GACAATACACAGCAAGTGAGGTAGGTTTACATTTATTTTGAGCCTTAACATAGACATTCCTTGATATAACTTTACGATATTACGACTCTTCAATATTCTCCCATACATTTCTTTATATTTCGAACAAACGACCAGACACGCCGCTTGTGTGGGCTCCCTGCGCCCTGTCACTCAACCTCTGTATTTTCAACATGGCGGTTCTAAAATCTACGAGGTACGCACATGGCATGCGTGCGCATATGTGACAGATACCGCGGGCCGCCATGCCCGACATAGCACTCATCTCGCGCATTAATTGTACTCTACGAAGCACAGTTGGATGACAGAGCTGAATAATGAAATGTTACGTCAGAGGGTATGCGGTCAATAACGCGGGCTCAAGTGTCCTAGGTCTAAAATTTGCGAAATTAGCGGAAAATAACATGGGCTGACTTTCAAAACCGAGGAACTCTGTTTTCGTCGCAGGCATTTTCCTAATTCCAGAGTTCTTAAGCAGAAAATTAATTTTTGAAAATTTTTTGGGGGTGTACCAAGTTTTTGGAGGTTGTTCTGTAAAAGAAAAGCGGCAAGGAAATTTCTAAAGCAACAGAAGCAACAGAATAGGAAATCAACCATGCGAACGACTCAAAATCCGTGTTTCCGCGGCAAAACCTAGCGCATGCGTATACGTTATTCAGCTTTGTCCAGTTGGATAATAATAATCATTACTGAACTGTGGTGATTAGAGTAAAAAGAATGACATAAATTTTTTCAGTCAATGAATGTAACACAGGAAATAACTTTGTAAAAGGAGACTCTTGTTACGGTTTTCCTTGGCATCCCACAGTCTGTTATTATTTACTGTAATTTAGTTTTCCTGAGAAGAAAAAATCTAAAATTTCAAGATATTCCATATAGACCTATAACCCACACAAAACCCTGCGTTAGTTCTGAAGATTCCCTGAGTATCTGGATTCTAAAATTCTTCATTGACACCATAATTGCGATGCCAATAAAAATGATTGCACTTCCTGTACCTGTTCAATGCATAAAATGACGTCCCCCACTTGAAACGTTTTAACAATGTTGAGCCAAGATCTTGTTGACCTGTAGTAATATTAACAACAAAAATGTGTTTTTAATGTTACCATTTCCCTTCTCCAAAATAACACTCAAATTTTAAATATGATTTTGCAAAAGAATCAGTAAAATCACTCTGGCGAGGAAAATGAAAAACAGTCTAGGGAATTCCAGTAACCTGATAGTAGGATGACTAACCTGGTGTGTCACTGGAGAAAGTGCTTTATTAATCTTTGAGCCCTAACAGTGATCAGCATCTAACTTCTCATTACAATGTAAAAGGAGGGGGGGGGGGAAGTTTCAATCCCATTTTGCACAAAATTGTTTTAGAAATTTTCTTATGTCACATATATTCATGGGTAACTTCAAATCTTTCTTCTTGTGTACACAGTTTCAAGTAAATATTGAGGTTTTCATGAAATGAAAGAAGAAATTCATGGGTAATGTATAATTCCAGAGGTAAATAATGCCTCATGCTGGTTTATAAGTTCACTGATTCACTTCTCATATTTGCCTTTCTATAAAATTCACGAATCACATTTTAATTTCGGCCTTAATCATGCTTCACTCATAAACCCATTGTCATCCTCACATTAAGGTCTGGACAAGAAAGGAAATGAAAACCAACTAAAGAAGTTCTTGATCATTTAACAAATTCTCCTTGTAAGTACCTTAGGAAATTTATGATGAACAGTATGGAGAATATGCTTACTGATTTAGGGCTTAAAGGTTTGATTACTAAAACATTATCATTTTAAAACTGTGAAAAGTGCAATTTATGAAGAGTATTTTATTTTTTACCAGTAATGTACAACGTGGCAGCAAATGCTTCTACACAGGACAATTTACAGGGCTTCCCATAGTTGATGGGATTCGCGGCAATTAAGTATGGTAACAGGCGCATGTGACATCCTCTCATTCTTCCAAATGGTGTGCTCTCCAATTTGGCCCATGAACAGTCAATAACAGCTATTCCATGATCCATAATGAGGGTGTGGTCCTGGGCTGAGACACACTGCCTTCCCAAAGGACTCAAAATCAGACCATTGAACCTCTGAGAAATTTTAAGTGTTTTCACAAAGCCAAGTCTTGAAAGCTTTCTGCCTGAACACTTCTTAGGATCACAGTGCTCCAAATCCTAAAATATGATTGATTAGTTGACTTCAACAAACAGAACCAGTGAAAGCTGGGTTCATCATCCTCTAAAAAAGTCAAATGACTCAACTTAATCTATGATGTTTAAGACACATTTCAAGACAATCCAGTGTCTGGAAGTGTCTCAAATCTTGAAATTACACGACTGACTGTCACTCTAAAGTTTAAATAATTTATTAAATTAGCTGATCCTTCTTGCTTACCCACATGGCCAAAGGAAAAGGGAATCCTCTGCCATAGTCCTTTTTCTTACCATCTTCTGAAAGAAATACGAACAAAAAAATAATATACATTTTTTGCTTTAACTCTGTAGTTTAGATGGACATTCACCAAAAATACATCAGATGTAAAGGTCTCAGGTTTGGCTCTAATTGTTCATTGGTCATGACAATTTGGGAACAAATAAGCTCTGAACTAACAAATTATATTTGTTTAAAAACTCTACTAAATGATGAATCTTGATCATGTGCTAATTAATATTACCGCATTTATTCGCCTAAAAGCCGAGCGATTTTTCCAACAAATTAAACTGAGAACAGGTAAATTCTTGGAAAGGTAGGGGGTTCGGCTTATAGCCGAGTATTTTCGCCAAAAAATATTTATGGGTGCTTAACAAGATTCGAAATTCAATGTTTATTCCACTATAAGCCAAGCGATTATCAACAAACACAAATTTCCAAGATCACGAAAGGTAGGTACATGTAAATCATTGTTGGTCATTGACTTTAATTTATGTCAAGACTCCTAAAGGAGCCGTTTTGTTTGTGAAGTTGAAGTTTGTGACATTGAAGTTTTTAGTGATCGTCGTCTTTTTCGCTGTCAGTCTCAAACTCATCCTCCATGTCATCATCAGCTACCTCAGGCATTTCGTCGTCGTAGATGG